CCAATGGTAATGAAGGAAAAAGAAACACCGAAGTAATTAGCAAAACCCCCCACAAAACTCTAGGAATTGACTGGAAACTAACAAATGAATGTAACACTAGAATCACAAACTTGTCCATGCCAGGAAATATGGAAGACAGCGAGCTGGCCAAAAAACGGGAAGAGATCCGAAGATTCAAAGAAAAGTGATCCAATGAAATGGAGATTATCAACCATCATAATTAATATTCACAGAAGTAAAACAAATACCAAAGATCATTAAATATGTGAGAACTGTCATTAATTCAAGCCTGATATAGGAGAAGATGGGGGGAAATGGGGAACTAACAATGAGTATGAGAAGAAAATGTTCTGATATTGATTGTGATGATTGCACAAATCTTAACATAATTGACATGTGAAGTATATGCCAATAAAACTATTTTTTAAAAAGAACTCTAAGAAAATAATGGATAAACCAAAGCATCTGCTCTGTAAAACTTCATCCAATTCACAATAAAACATTGAACAGAAAAATGAAATGTAAACCTGATACAGAAGAGGACTGAGGGATACCACTCCTAATGTCAGATGGACTTTGGCTAACAGCAGAGAATAGGTTTAAATATATGTCCTTGTGTTTTATTGACGATGCAGAGGCATTTTACTCTTCAGATCATAACAAATTATGGATAACATTGTGAAGAATGAGAATTTCAGAACACGTTATTATGCTCATGCAGAACTTGGACACAGACCAGGACGAAGCCATTGGAAGAGAAAATTGTGTGGTTTAAAATCAGGAAAGGTGTGTATCAGGCTAAATATTCTCACCATATTTACTCAATCTGTTTTCCAAACAATAATCCTAATCCAAGACACTGGACTAAACAAAAAAGGGGACATGAGGGCCAGAGAAAGACTCATAATCAGCCTTCAGTTTCAGCACAGAGATTGACACAATCTTGCTTGCTTGGAGTGAGGAGGGCTTGAAGCACTTACTGATTTAAGTCAAAGATTATATCCTTCAGAATGGCTTATACATTCACATAAAAATGAAAAATTCTCATAATTGGACCAATAAACAAGATCTTGAGCAACAGATAAAAGATTGCATTTGTCAAGTATTTCATTTTACTTGGATCTCCAATCAATGTCCATGGAAACAGCAGTCAAGAAATCAAGCACTGTATTGCATTGAGTAAATCTGCTATAAAATACCTGTAGAGTTAAAAGTCAAAGACATTATTACCTTGTGGACTACAATGTACCTGGCTTAAGCCAGAGTACTTTTGATTACCTCACATGCATACTACAGCTGATTGAATTCAGAAGACCAGAGAAGAATTGATGCATTTGAATTATAGTGTTGGTAAAGAATACTCAATGTCTAAACGTAACGATGAGCGATTTACTGGGATGATGTCAACCTCTCCATTTTTCTTGAAGGAAAATCCTTTGTAGAAGCAAAAGTTAATCAAGTGGATACTTGTCAAATGAACCTTAGTTCTAAATTCCATACTTAGAAAAAATTCCATTTACTTCACTTACAGACCTAAAGTACATAGAGCAATGTCTGGTATGTAGTTTGTACTCCATAAATATTTGTTGAAAGCTAAGCGAATGTCTTTCTTTCTTTTTTTTTTTAGAAACTTCTGAGAGTAAAAATAAATGGAATCAAATGTTTTTAAATTGCAGAAAAATTATGCTGGATATTTGGGTAAGACTTAGACTGCTAACTGCACGGTTGGCAGTTCAAAGCCACCAGCTACTACTCTTAATAGGGTCACTCTGAGTCTCGGCATCAACTCGATAGTAATGGTGAGTGGGCAATCATTAGGTTTTGCAGCCCTGGGTTTAGGAACTAATGGTTAAGCATTGGGCTACTAACAACCAGGTCTTTGGGTGAAACCCACCTGCTGCTCCAGGGGAGAAAGATGAAACTATTGGCTCCTGTAACTTTAACAACCTCAGAAACCCTAAGGAGTAGCCCCCTCTGTCCTACAGGTCACTATCACAGTCACAGTTGTTGTTAGGTGTTGCCACGTCAGTTTGGACTCATATCCACCCTCTGAAAACGGAACAAATACAATACTGCTGCCAGTCCTGTGCCATTTGTCCTTTTCACAATTGTTCTTAGGTCTGAGCCCGGCAATGAACTCAGTCACTATTAGCTGGAATCAGTTTGAAAGCAGTGGGTTTGATTTAATCTTGATGTTTATGAGGGAAGCTTCTGACATCTAAAAACCCGAAGTTGAAATTGGAATAAGGGAACCTAAAGTAAATCAATTAATTTATATGCACCTTTGTTTTCCTTTTGTAACATGGCTCAAGTGCTGTCTAACGCTATTACTGTTGTGTGTAAATAAGGTATTACATGAGTAAAGGGCCTATAAAAATTTATGGCACATAGTATAATCCACAAAGACAATGTTTAACAACCTACTCTGGTGAGTAGCTACCGGGGTCTTAAAAGCTCATGGACATTCATGGAAGGTGCAAATACTGGTCTCTCCCCATTTCGATGAAAGAACCGTGCTGAAAATCCAAGCTAGACGAAAACAAATTGTCAGTCCAATAGACTAGCAGACCACCCAGACTGGATGGTGTCCAGTTCCCACTCCTGAGTGCTCCGAAAGGATCCCATGAGAGGGTCCTGAATAGAGAGATGAAACAAAGTCAAATTATAAAACAGACCAGGCTCGTATGTACAAATGTGCTCCATACAATTGAAGGATGGATTGTTATAAGACCTGTAAGAGCCCCCAATAAAATGATTTACTAAAATAAAAAAATAAAGACGCCAGGCTTACCAATCATATGAAGACTAGAGAAACCCCTGAGCCCATGGCCTTTAGTCACCCTTCCGGTCTGGAACTGAATTCACCAGGCAAACAATTGACAGGTCTTTAAGGGCAACACGGACTCTAGCTGGGTGCACACATCTTAAGATCAAAGAGTCAACAACAAAGGGCACCTTGGACCCAAGGGCAGAGTTCAGAAGTGTTAGAAAGAAAAAGAAGGATGGAAACCGTAAACAGGGAGGAAGTGGGTGCCTGAGAGATGTCCCAAGGAGGGGATTATCATGAATGTGGCGAAGCAAAACCTCTGAATTGCTGGATGTGAAACTAGTGATCTGCTCTGGGAACCATCACGCATTTCACAATAAAAAGGTTTTTTGATTGATATTTTTTTAAGTATGGCATAAACACTCGGTTTTATCACAACCTGAGATATTGCTGAGGAAATTATTGCGGCCTATAAGGTATATATAGGAAAAGCTGGAAGTTCAGTAGCCAATAGTCAATGTCAGATGTTTACTGAATCTATTTAAAAAATCTCCTGCTACTGTATCCAACTGCCGACTCATCTCTTTAGATATATTTTCCCAAGCTACTTAATAGGAAAGAGGGAAATGCAGCCCATTCTACCTTGCAAAAACTTTTGAAAAACTGCAGGATTCCAAGATGCTTACTGGAAATAATATGAAACCCTTTAAACGGATATCACATAAAGCACTTAATATAACTTTCCAACCCCAGGTTTACCAGGCTTCTCCAATTAGAAAACTTTGTTCTGGAGCATCTGTGAGAATGCAGATTCAGGGAAACAGCCACCCAACACAGTAATTCTTGAAGTGTCTTCAACAGGATGAATAAAATATGCAGTGTCGCCCAGCGCGCCTCACTTCCTCCCCCGACTCCTGCCACGCCCGCCGCTGTTGCTGGGAACCAGGAGGCGGGTGTCCTCTCCGTGCGCGCACGGGCGGGGGCGGGGGCGGCCGCGCTCAGCCCGAGCCTGGGAGCCGGCTGCAGGCGACGCGAGCCTTGGCAGCCTGCGCTCCGGGGAACTCAGCGCCAAGCACTAGACGAGACCTGCCCAGCCAGGAGGCTCCTGCCCTGTAAGCGCAGCCAGGCCCAGGAGGACCAAAGGATGCTAAGTGACCTGCGATGGCTGGGCGCCACCCCGATGTGCCAGGAGCTTCAGGTGAGTGTCAGACTCCTCTTTACCTTCCGCCCCCTCGTCCAACAGGTGGGTGGGGGCGCGCCTCCGAGTGACCTAGTGGGTAGGTAGACTGGTGGCCTCCCTTGGGCATGGGCGCATGGCTGCCTCCTTTTGCAGAGGCGGCTTTCCCATTTAAGCCCTTGCCTTAGCCCACGCCGGGTCTAGCTTTGCCTTGTGGCCTTCTCTTCTAAAATGAGGGCTCATCTGTGGGCACGTGCGCAGGACACTTGCACCCCGGGAATGGGGAGTGGGGTGGCTGGGTGGTGACCCCGAATTCTTAGTGGCTCCCTGGCACTTCCACTAAAGACATCATTATTCCCAATCTCCACCAAGGTCCCCCAACCAGAGGGAGGATGGAGGAGAAAATGACATGCTAAAAAGAGCGAATTGGAGGAAAAGATGCACCCTCTCTACCATCGCACCCGCTTCCACATGCGCGTGGCCCAGGCGACCCTCCCGGGGGAGGTAGATCAAGTCCCCGCTGCAAAAAAGGACGCACTCCCTCGCCCCCAGTCAGTCGGAAGGGACTCAACCCCCATTAGCACCTCCACTGCTTACAAAACTTTTTGGTTGGCCTTGGGCCGCCGGGAATGAGTCTGGCCACCCTTCCCTGGTGTTGCGCTCTGAGTCATCTTGCCCACCTCCTCCTGTCTCCATTTCACCCCCACCCCCACCGCCACCCCTGCCCCAGTAGCTGGGCGGTCCAGCCCTAGACCCCTGGGGCTGACATTTCCATTGCAAAGTGATCAGGGCCTGGAACCCTGACGGGGTGCCCCGGGGCTGCCCCCAATAGGGTCCGGGCGCCCAGCCCCTGCGCATGGCCACTGAGCGCTGAGCGCTGGCGGATCCTTTGGGCTGTGGGAGGCACGCGTGCAGACGGGTGCGGAGAGGAGGGGCGCTGGTGAGTGGGAAGCACCCGCCCACCTCCGATCCCCGGGAAACCCCTGTCGCCCCAGGGGGCCGCGCCACCGCCACCGCCGTGCGGCACCTCAGCTCTCCCAACTTTGTGCGGTCCTCCGGGAGCAGCCACCGGCATGGAGCTGCCTCCCCGACGCCGGGCGCCGCCAGACTCGCCCCTGGGCAGCAGTTCCCTGACCTCGCTGGACTCCAGCGTCTTTTGCAGCGAGGGCGACGGGGAGCCCCTGGCGCTCGGGGACTGCTTCACGGTCAACGTGGGCGGCAGCCGCTTTGTGCTCTCGCAGCAGGCGCTGTCTTGCTTCCCGCACACGCGCCTGGGCAAGCTGGCCGTGGTGGTGGCCTCTTGCCGCCGCCCGGGAGCCCTGACCGCCGTGCCCAGCCCGCTGGACTTCTGCGACGATGCCAACCCGGTGGACAACGAGTACTTCTTCGACCGCAGCTCGCAGGCGTTCCGCTACGTGCTGCACTACTACCGCACAGGCCGCCTGCACGTCATGGAGCAGCTGTGCGCGATCTCCTTTCTCCAGGAGATCCAGTACTGGGGCATCGACGAGCTCAGCATCGACTCCTGCTGCAGGGACAGGTACTCGCCAGGCAAGACGAGGAGGTGGGCGTAGGCCAGGAGGGCAGCTGAATCCAGGCCTGGGCATAGGTGCGGTCACTTCTGGCCTGGGAAGTGGAAGAGCCTCAAAGGGGCTATTTGAGTGGAACCTTTTGAACTTCCTGATCCTCCCCTCCTTCCCGCCACCCTTTTAGTCCTTGGTGTATTTCAAATAAATCTATAAGGTGAGAGAGGTCAGGACCGCCCTGAAAACCTGGTTATTGGATGAGTGCTTCTGCAAACCGTGCACCAAAGAATGCTTGTAGAGCGAGGCAGGTTTGGGGGTAGAGCATTTTGATCTGTCAAAAGCAGGAGGCTAACTTTGAAAAACTTGGAGAACTGCTTTAAACATGAAAGACAGAAAGTTGGTGCCTTGGCTTTGTGAACGTTTATGTGGCGCTGCTAGTATTTTGCTATTATTCCCATTTCTTCTGGGCTCACTTCTGTGGCATAGTGGTTCCGCATTGGGCTGCCGAACCATTAGGGCATTGGTTCGAAACCACCAGTTGGAAACTTCCAGGGGCTGTTGCCATGTGTGGGCACTGACTTGATGGCAGAGAGTGAGTGAGTGAGTGAGTCAACCATTTCTTCATGAACACCGTTTCTCTACAGAAAAAGAAGGACCTTACTACAAGCAGCTGTTCTTCTTACAATAATTAAGAAAATGCAATAATTAATCAAATTAATTTAAAAATTATAAAATGCAATAAGTCCAAAGAGTGTTGCTGTACATGAATTGGCATGACTCTCTTTCTCTCTCTCTCTTGGGTGGGAATGCTGACTAGAAAACGCTGGCTACTGTGAACAGAATAGTGCCTGGGTAAACTATGATTGGGTATTTCATGCACTTTCCTGAAAGAAACCCCCCAGAAGTTCACTACTAAGTTTAATTTCATTTGATTTCCGCATTCTAAATGTGTAAAAAGGGAAACCAATCACCAGATTCTCTTCTCTAAAAGGTATTTCAGAAGAAAGGAGCTGAGTGAGACATTAGACTTTAAAAAGGACACCGAAGACCAAGAAAGTCAGCATGAGAGTGAACAGGACTTCTCACAAGGACCTTGCCCCACTGTCCGCCAGAAGCTCTGGAACATCCTGGAAAAGCCTGCGTCTTCCACGGCTGCCCGCATCCTCGGGGTCATCTCCATCATCTTTGTAGTGGTATCCATCATCAACATGGCCCTGATGTCATCTGAGCTAAGCTGGCTGGACCCACAATTACTGGAAATCCTGGAGTACGTGTGCATCAGCTGGTTCACTGGGGAGTTTGTCTTGCGCTTCCTCTGTGTGCGGGACCGGTGCCGCTTCCTGAGAAAGGTGCCCAATATCATAGACCTCCTTGCCATCTTGCCCTTCTACATCACCCTACTGGTGGAGAGCCTGAGTGGGAGCCAGACCACTCAGGAGCTGGAGAACGTAGGACGCCTCGTCCAGGTGCTGCGGCTGCTCAGGGCTCTGCGCATGCTCAAGCTCGGCAGACATTCTACAGGTATTCAGACTTCATTGGTCTCCTCTGATTTGCCTTTGTTTACTACCTGTAGTGCTTTGCCCACTGTATAAAGGAAGCCACTCTGAATTTATATGCATAATGACTATCCTACCTAACTAACCAAGATCTCTGAACAGGGCCCCAGAAACAAAGCCTTGACGTTGTTATCATAGGTATAGAGAAAAGACCGCCACTAACATTCTTTAACTCTCTAAGACATTGAAAAGCAAGCAATTTGGCCAGGGGTTACCCGGAATTGAATGTTATCCAGTGCCTGGACCATGCACAGGAATAAAAGGCATTCTGTCCCCAAAAGAGTCTAAAATATACACGAACGGTTCATGAATGGATACACATAAATCATACACAGATAAGGACATAGTTTCTCAATTGTGTCCCAGAAGAGTTTCCACTTGCATGTCTTTTTTTGAAGGGAAAGCTAGTCTTCCGGAAGCTTCTCTGACTATGCAAGAAGAGTGATTAGGCACGAGTGGCCTCCCCATGATTTTGAAGATGCGTAGAGAAATGTTGCTTTGGAAGAAAATTAAATTCTGCCTCTAGTGCCTGAGGACTTTCTGAGACCTAATCTGGATTACATGAGAGTAAGCGAGGGACAGGGAGTTCTTCGCTTTTTTGCAGGTCATGACTGTCTGCAGCCACCCAGTCTCCTGATTCATGGGGACCTTATACAACAGTGTAGAGCTGCTCCTTAGGGTTTCTGAGATAATAACTGCCTCATCTTTCTTCCAATACTCAGAGACTCTGAAAATAAAATTAACTCTCTCCTCAGACAAATCTCCACACAACACACAACTACAAATGAGAAATCACAACCCATTGAAGAGGACCGCTGCCTTGCCAAAGACAATGACTGCTCATGACTGATTCTAAAGCTATTGGACTTTCTAAAGTACCTCAGGGCAAAACATAAAGGAAAGAAGAATTCCCTGTGAAGCTACTAAATTAGAAATTGTGAATATCAATCCCTAGAGAGCTGGATTTAATATTTGCGATTGGGCCCAGTAGCACATACTGCAAAAATTTCATAAGTGATTTAAATATAGTTAGTGAACCATCCTGGGATACCATATTAATATAATGCATATTATTATAATAAATGATCATAGAAATACAAATATATCAAATGCTAAATGGTTACAACATCCTGTTTCCCATCTTTCCTCAAATACATGCCTTATTGGCTACTTGAAAGATCTTGAGCCTAGTTTTCTCTTAGATATGTAGTGAGAAATTAACCTCAATTAATGCCCCCCCCCCAGGTAAGGAGGATTTATCCTACTAGATTTTTTTTTTTCCTACTAGAATTTGAGTGGTGCATTTTCTTAGCTAGTCTCACATAGCAGGGATTTGATAATGGGGTTTCCAACAACTTTTAGAAGTAACACTCTTTGTTTTCTGACACATATAATGGGATGCTTTCTTCGAGTATTTATAAACTCTTCACAGAATTCAATTTGAAAACACCCAGTTAAAGACTACATTTTTCCCAAAAGAAAGGAAAAAAGAAAATAATAGTAATTTCCACAATGTCACTTCTTTTCAATTTATTTCAGTTCTAAAGCAAATATAAGGAAAGTATTAATAAGCCTTAATTTATTGAAAAGATAGGAATAGCTCAATTACATAAATATTTGAGAGTTTTGCCTCAAGCATAACTTTTAACAAATAAAGATGGCATGTTCATATATTAATTATTTTTACTGTCAATGTTGTTATAGAATAAGTTAGGAGGATAATAGTGGGCCAGACACTATTAAGCTTAAATTCTGGTTCCCTTGATTTACACTCATATTCTACTTTTCTATCTCTATCTACCCATCTGCAAAATGGCATAATAATTACATTTACTTCATATGAGTCTTCTGGGGGTGATCTGTAGCAAGCTAGAAATTCAGAACACAGATTGTGTGTCTTGTTACAAAATTGTTTAGCACATTTCATGATAGAGGGAAATAGTCCTCCCTTTAAAAAAAATGCAATGATTTTTCTAATGTATTGTCACTTAATTTAAGATATACAGTTCAGCTTAGGCCCATCAGAATCAGTTTATTAAAAGATATTCTAAAACATATTCTTCTGAGGCTAAACCTCATAATTAATACTCAATGATCTGTAATAATAGCCAGTTAATAATGCAAGAATATCTCAATTCTAAAGAACAAAACTCAAAATGAGGGCAGATTTCAAATATTCTCTAGTGAATAAAAGGAAAGACTGATCCTATGAGGCCTTTCTTTGGACTTCTGAGAACCTATCCTTATTAAATCATGTTGACACAACTTCAAAATATGAATACATTTACAGAAGCTGTGTCAGGGAGGAAACCTGGTTATTCTTACTCCCAGTAGGAGACTGACTTCTTCCTTAACAGACAAGATTGAGTTCCCTGTGTTCTATCTCCCAAGAGCTCAATGAATCTTCAGAACTCACTAGGGGAAACCCAGCAATGCTGCAGAAGTGAATGCGTTCCGCTGCTGGTTCCTCTGCCCTAAACCTCTGTAAGGGAGGAGTATTCTATATTCATGTTTATCTCCTCAAAGGAAAGCAGAAAAATCTCTGTATTTTGGAAGAAATTTCCTCTTGTTTTGATAATGAGGACTTAGAAAGTCAATGGTCCCAGTGGAGTTTATCCCGAAGAGCAACCTGAAATATACAATAGGATCTTCTCCTGTCAACCGGTCACCAACAACTAATTTGCTTGTACCGCTTCCCTTCATTTCCTGTAGTGTGCACCCCTTTCGTCCTCTAGGTTTCAGACAACAAGGCTCCCGATGGTGCTAAACTTCATCAGAAGGGTGAGAGAAGCAGATTTGTGAAATATAATAAGACAGACATTAGACAGAGCTGTCCTGGTGACATCTGACACAGTTAGTCTTGCGTTTCCACCAATCGTAGCCAATGGTGTCTGTCTCCAGGAACTGGCCCCTCATGATAACGTGCCCAAAGTATACAAGACGACGTCTTACCACCTGGCTTCTAAGAAGAATTTTGAATAGATTTCATCTAACACAAGTTTGTTTCCTGTTTGGCTGTCTTTAGAGTATGTGATATTCTTAACCAACACCATCATTTAAAAGCCATCAATCTTTTCAGTCCTTAGGCAGCCTTCCTTAGACATTCCCTAGTTTTCACATGTAGATGAGGCGATTCAAAAATACCATGGCCAGGGTCAGGCATGCCTTAATCCTCAAAATGACATCTTTGCTATTCAACATATTAAAAAGACCTTTTGCAGCAAATTTTCCCAATAAAATATATCCTTTTATTTCTTTATAGTTCCTTCAATGGGTGTTTGTTTTGGACCCAAGTAAAATGAAACCCTTAACAATTTCAGTCGTCCCTCAGTTTATCATCATGTTCCTTATTGGTTCATTTGTAATGATTTTTGTTTTCATTGCAGCGAGGTGTCATCCATACAGTAGATTTTTGTCTTTGATCTTCATCATTAAATTCTTCAAGTCCTCTTCACATTTGGCAAGGCAGGTTGTCATTCACATGTCACAGATCCATTAACCATCTTCTGATCCTGATGTCACATTCTTCTTCATTTAGTCATATACCGGTTTGTGTGAATGCGTGGATTTAATACTAGGTACTTAATTAAAATGCCGTTAAATGAATTCTCTTTCTGGCTACCCTCCTTCGGCCCCATCAACTAGTCTGAGCTTCTAAAAGACAGGGGTTATCGCTTGGTCATTTTGTAGTCTCAGAACCTTGCCCAGTGCTGAGGGACAATGAAGCAGACAATTGACATGTATCCAGGGGGTGGGGATAGAAAGAGGGAAGAAGATGGGTGACTAATAGGAGTTATTCTTTTACAGGTTTACGCTCCCTTGGAATGACAATCACCCAGTGCTATGAAGAAGTTGGCCTACTGCTTCTATTTCTGTCTGTGGGAATTTCTATATTTTCAACTGTGGAGTATTTTGCTGAGCAAAACATTCCAGACACAACCTTCACAAGTGTCCCTTGTGCATGGTGGTGGGCCACAACATCCATGACTACCGTGGGATATGGGGACATTAGACCCGACACCACCATGGGGAAAATTGTGGCCTTCATGTGTATATTATCAGGAATCCTGGTCTTGGCCTTGCCTATTGCGATTATTAACGACCGCTTCTCTGCTTGCTACTTCACCTTGAAACTCAGGGAAGCGGCAGTGAGACAGCGTGAAGCCCTAAAGAAGCTTACCAAGAATATAGCCACTGACTCGTACATCAGTGTCAACTTGAGAGATATCTATGCGCGAAGTATCATGGAGATGCTTCGATTAAAAGGGAGAGAGAGAGCAAGTACTCGGAGCAGTGGAGGAGATGATTTCTGGTTTTGAACTCATGTTCAATTCATTTGTGAGACCTATGTGATGGAAACTCATTCCATGGATTAAATTTTGAAATCATGCCTCTAAGTGTGGATGGTCTCTTTTGAGCACTGCCTATCTTGATTTCTGCCGATATGTGGCATAATATACTAAAGTAGCTCACATTTCTTATAACAGCTGCAGATAAACCTGCTCAGGATATAACTTAATCTATTTGCACATATAAATTGCACAAGTTAATCTATTAACAAGATTAAGTAAATAGAGCCAACATACATATGCCTGAATTTCCAATTACAAAATAATATCTGTGTAATACATACAGGAAGGTGAAAGTTTCATGAATCACTCACTTTAAAAAGTTTTTCCCTATTAATTATTTGACATGGGAAGCTAAACTAGATAGTCCAGAGTAAAGATGCGTGAGCATTTAAGAACGCACTGAACAATTTTGCTATTTAAAGATATTCTGCAAGTAAAGCGCTCTTTATCTTGTCAGTTAACATGATTGAATAAACAAATTAGCTTTGTCCAGGGAAAGCCCCGATGGAATGTTCAGAGATTCTGTCCTCATCCCCCATCTGTACAAATCACTGGTCCTAAACAGCTTGAACAAAGAGCTGTGAATTCCGTCATCACTATTGCAGGTGGGGAGAACAAAACTAGAAAGGCTGCAGTAAATGGGCACGTTGAAGAGTTCCAAGTCTTCATGGTCATCTAAAAGAAGCCTGGGTGGCACAATGGTTAAGCCGTTGGCTGTTAACCAGAAGGTTGTCCACCTAAACCGACCCACAAGCTCTGCGAGAGAAAGATCAAGTGATCTCTCATTAAGATTAAGAAAAGTAAACTCACTGTTATCTAGGGACCCTGAGTGATCCCAGGGCATTGAAGGCTTCAATCTTACAGGAGCAGAAAACCTCATCTTTCTCCCTCACTGAGCCTGGTTGTTCCGAACTGCTGATCTTTGGGTGAGCGGCCCAATGTGTAATCCACTATACCACCAGAACTCTTTAAAGACTAAAGTTTAGAAAACCTTATGACACCGTTAACTCTGCCACACGGGGTTGCTCTGAGTTCAAATTGACTTGACAGCACCAAATAGCAGCACTCTTTTTTCCACTGGGCACATTATAAGTGGCACACTTCTTAATACTCCACAAAAATCCAATGGTCCTTAAAATGTATTTTAGGGATGCACTGTACACGTTGTTCTTAACATCATGAATAAGTTACGATAAAATGGTGAACATTCTAAATTTATGGCCAGGCATACACCATTAATGCATACAATAGTCAAAGAGTAGATGTTTTTCTATTGCCAAACATTCAGAATGTTAGATAAAATGACCAGTAAGTAAGCTGTAGGTGTACTGAAATTATTTAATAGCCTCGTTTAATTAGATAAGACTGTTAGATTGATTGACATCACTAGATGAACTTGGAGATATTTTAACAACAAAAAATGTCATGGAAAACGTCCTGACTGTTCGGGATAAATACTGAATGTACCAACTTTGTAGGCATTTTGGCAGCATTTTGACATTCTTTTATAAAAATAATAAAAATCCTAGACATTCTGTTACATAATTAAATCCAAAAGCTATAAAGCTATGAACTAGTTTATTGTGCCCAATATTCTAGTAATGAGATTTTTAAAATCAAAGGACAAAAAGGAATGTATCACTTTAATGCTTAATATTTACAATGAGGATATTTTGCCTTAAGGAGAGTAGAAACGGGTTCTTGAGGTGGAGAATGTCACCGTATGTCCAACACGCATAAACACACATGCAGTGTGTCTGTGGTATCCAGGTTTCATGGGGTAGTCAATTAGGGGAAACAAATTCTATAAACATTCATTGGGAGAATAATTATAAATCAAATACTGTTTCATAAGTTATAAAGTAAAACACTTTTAATATAGGATTGCATCATATTTCAGCAACCATACTCCAAGATACCATATTCTAAATTTCCAAGTAAGAAAAATACCGATTAATTGTAAAATGCCATTGATTGCAAAATGCAGCTAGATTTTGATATGCTAAAAAAATAAATGCAACTTAAAATAAATGGCATTCCATATGTACTGCCTCCTGCTTCCTGGTATGCATGTTTAAGCTCTGAAAACAATTTCATTGATGGCATGAGTTTTAGACTGATGCTTAAGGAGTCAAAACCATGTGGCTTGTTTCCAGTTCTCCTAAATATTAAAGAGCTATAAGTAGCAAAAAGATATATATTTTCTGTCTTACACATGCTCTCAAGTACTAGGGCATAACACAGAATGATTACTCTGTCTGAGACCCACCCACAACTGAAGGGTAAATAAAAGTTAGACATAGAAGATAAACTTCTCCTGGCTTATCTGGAACTTTCCCAAGTAACAATAGTTACATACTCTGATACCACATTGTGCTTTGCATTCATCATGCATTCTCTCACAATATAATCATGATATCCCCAAACTCAACTTAAGAAAAAACCTCCCCAACATTGAGTCAATTCTGACTCATTTAGCAGTCCTAGATTGCAGGGTAGAATTGCCTCTTTGGGTTTCCAAGGCTAACTTGACAGGACTAGAAAGCCTCACCTTTCTCCCACAGAGTAGCTGGCATTTTTGAACTGCTGATCTTGCAGTTAACTGCCCACTATGCCACTAAGGCTCCAATATGCGATTATTCTTGCATTTTGCATGTTTGTTCATTCATTGAAAACTTATTCAGCACACTTCTAAGTGATGGCCACTAGAGAATCTTTGTTAACTAAAAAGAAGCCTTCTTATAGCTAATGTTCTAGTTAGGTGTACGGGAGGTCAGGGGTAGGGGTGGGGGAGATAGAAATCAGATTTTTAAAACTGAGGCATTAAAAGAAAAAGGCAATTTTTCCAAAGTCCACAGCCAAGAAATGGCAGAACCCGGACTGAACTACAATATAGCTCACCTTGGAACTAATACTCCTGAAAGCTGTATTATACATCCTATAGTCTTACATAACCTGGACCAGTTGACCTCTTGTGAATGGAGAGGTTTAGTATGCTTTAAGAAAAACATCGTCAAAAAACAAAACAAAACAAAAAAACATCGTCTTAGTCTCCTAAGTGGAGGAATGATTTTAAGGAACTGTTTTGGTGAACCCTTCTAGGTCTAATTAAACAAAAATACTCTCTTTATAATCAATAGTTGGAATTTTTGAAGTGAACATTTAAAATGTTCAAGTATACAAGGAATTTTTTTCAGAGCTATGTTTTAAATTTTTTTACAAAACAAGCTTAACACCTTCAATGTACACTCCACTACACTTACTACATTGTCAAATATACAATATGGAAACATTTTTCAAACTCGTCTGCTTGGATGGCTGACAGCACCTCCCCCGGTTTTTTTCTTGACATCTTCTACGTCATCAAATTGCTGTCCTTTCATGTCCCTCTGCATTCAAGGGCAGGAAAAGAAGTCACATGCTGAGAGGTCAGGTGAGTAAGGTGCATGGGGCAAGAGAGGCA